CAAAGTACGTGGCTCAGGCACAACAGAATCCACGTGAGCGGGCTCTACACAAGAATCCTGGATCGACGCCGGTGGCCTGGGAGCCTATACTGCGATAATATGCTTAGCATTCCCACATTCCTGACTTCGAAGTCGGCAAAAGACCGAAAAGAACGGAGCAAAACACAAGCCCGTATATGGTGTGCAGCGTTCCACCAACGGCACGATCTGGTCTGTTCACGCAGCTCTTGAAACGGTCTCCGACGCGTCATCTAATCCATCACTGACCCCGCCCACTTCGTTTGTCGAATCGATGTGCGTGTGCTCTGTGCGCATGCGTGGTGAGTGCTTCTGTCGTTAAGTTTTCACCATAGTTTCATTCAATAAACGTCAGATTGCCGCTGTGGCCGGCAGTATGGCATTATGACGTATATCGTATGACGCATATGACGTATACAACAAATATATCAGCTGGGAGTGAAACATCAGCTGCAACGGGGCAGAGATCAGCTGAGCCTGGGAGTGGGGGGGGGGGGGGGGGGGCACAGGTCAGCATGCTCCCGGGGCACGGATCAACTGGACTGGGGGACCGGATCAATTGAACTGGGGCACCGGATCAGCTGGGCTGGGGGACCGGATCAGCTGGACTGAGGAACCGGATCAACTGGACCGAGGAACCAGATCAGCTGGACTGAGGAACCGGATCAACTGGACCGGGGGGCCAGATCAGCTGGACTTGGAAGCAGGGTCAGTTGGCCCGGGGGACCAGATTAGCTAGACGGGGGACCAGATTAGCTGGACTGGAGACCGGATCAACTGGACTAGAGGATCGAACCAACGGGATTGAGGGACCGGATCAGTTGGACGGGGGACCGAATTAACTGGACTGGGGAACCAGACCAGTTGGACTGGAGGACTGGATTAGCTGGACTGGGGAACCGGATCAACTGGACAGATGACCGGATCGGTTGGACTTGGGGTCCGGATCAGCTGGACTGGGAAACCGTAACGGTTGGACTGGCGGACCGGATCAGTTGGAGGAAGGGACTGTATCATCTGGACCGGGGAACCAGAACAGTTGGACTGGGGAACCGGATCAGATGGACTGGGGACCGGATCAGCTGAACTAGGGAACAGGATCAGCTCGGACAGGCGCAGAGATTAGATTAGCTAGACCAGGAAGCAGGAATTAACTCGGCCAGGAAGCAGATGGGTTGGATCAGGAGTCAGGAGCCACCTAGACCAGGGGCAGAAGTTAACTGGATCAGGAGGCCGGAGCCAACAAGGTGGGGTCGCGCCGGCCGGAGCTGACGCACTGTCCGCCCGTAAACGGCCTACGTCAGTCCCGCCTGGTCAGGTCGGCCGGCGGTTCGCCAGACATCGGCCGCTGGCCGGCCGGCAGCTCGGGCTGGTTTCAGCCGGCTCCTGTCACTCGTTAGTGTTTACACCGCGTGACAGATGAGCGCGCGGCGCCCCTCCGGCACGCGCTGGTCTGCCGGCGGTTGGTCAGGACTCAGGACTGGGTCAGGTCAAGTCGGCCATTCCCTGTGCTATCGTCGTCTCTGACACGCGCTGGTCGCCCCCCCCCCCCCCCCCGAACCCTCTGCTTCCGTCTTGCCACCTCACCAGCAGCGCTATCGTGATGCCGCGAGCGAGAACAAGCTTATTTGGCAGCGAGGACATCCCGCCGCGCGAGGCGAACTGTAAGTGGTAAAAACTGTCACGCCAGTTTTCATTAGCTTTTTGTACATCACAAAACAACTCTGGGGAACACCACAAAAACTACGCATAAAACAGTTATCACCACTCATGGCGAGTAGGTTGCTAGGAAACCGAGCATGTTCACAGTGTGTTTGCACCAAGTCACTCGCTCACATTGGAAATCACGGGCAGACTCTGAGGGGATGTGGTTTTGAGGATTCCCGTGTTGCTGACTCGACCACTGCTATCAGAACCGAGATGAAGCCGAGCGGACCGAGCCAAACACCAGACCACTGCAACCACTGAAACTGTGTTAACTGATAATGACAGCAAGTGATGACTCATTGCTACGACCCAAACATAACTACAGAAAACACGTCCACGCTCGCAAAGACACTTTTGATGTGCCATCTTGGGCAATTAGCCGTTAAATCCCATGGAAAGGTACGGTTGAAAACAGGTGGAAATCCAAAGCTTTTGAACATCTCGGTCAGGACCTTAGTAGTAAAAGTATGGCCATTCTTCAGGTGCATCGAAGTCTCCCAACACATGCCAATCGCGTTTCAACGACAGGAAACGAAAGCAAAACAAGGCTACGACAAATGGCATCACGCCTAGTTGTATTTGTACATGACATCTAAGCCACACAAGACTCTGAGGAAGTCTACCACCTCGAAAAGTAAATACTGATGTATAAAATCAGTCGTGTCCAATCCATCCTGCAAAGTTCGTTTCATTTAGGACCTATTGATCACACGTTTCGCCAGAAGTTTGGTTTTCTTCCAGCCAATAACCCTGAATATTTAACCAACCACCGCTAAGTAACGCTTTTGTTGTCATTTGCAATGGTGACGTGGGAGTTTGAATGAGATCAGCGATTTTATTATAGCAAATCAAAAAGGGCAGGTAACTATTCTTCGGGGCACAAACAGATACACGCAAAACAGGGCACAAACAGGACACACTTTGTGGTAGCATTGGAATAACTTGCCAACCGGGTGCTGGAGGTTAGAACGTTCAATGGAAGTGTTAGGTAACGCCTAGGGATATTCAAGGGTCTCGCACTTTGAAGCAGGAAGTGAAAAGTTTGTAGAGCAACAGTTGCCATTACCAGAGAAATGTTTTGGATGCATATTTCCACAGAGAAAAATCATTTGCGTTAATAAGTAAATCCCATAAGTTGTAAGTGCATCTGCGAGGACCATTACGCATGTAGATGAGTCGGAAGTCATGGCCTCATTCCTTATAGAAAACCAGGGGAATGGAGGTAAAGATGCGCTGATATCTCAACAACATGTTTTTTCCAAAACGATTATCACCGCTGGTAATCGCTTCGATAAAGGCATGTTGCCGAAATATTACCGCATCGATCTCTCCATTCTCCTGTTTTTATTACGAAGAAGAAGGCTATTACTGGCGTCTCATGTTTAAATCAGTATATCTTTAGATCACACGCTACCTGAAAAAAATCAAGTTTCATGTACTACGTAAACTGCATCCCAAAACGAGGGCCCTCACCTTGTCTACGACCGTGTCTCTGCCCTTCGAGCCGTCATTCACCCTTAAAGTCATTTACCCATTTTATTTACTCTTAAAAGCCTCGGTCGTTACCCAGCCAACTGACGCTTTCAGGGTCTTTGTTACCTCCAGCCTGAGCATACATAATATTTAGTATCAACCGCGGCTCACACGTAATTGTCCCAGCCACGCCTTATTACATGTCACTTCAAAGCGGAGCGCTTCCAAATAATAAAGGCGAGTCCACTCTTTCGAAGTTCCACAACCAGTAAAAGCGATGCTTTCTTCTAAATATTGATTTGGTAAGCATTCCATTATTATCACAAATCATAACGAATCCACTGAATTTACGACAGAGGATTATACAATGGGGTCTCAAAGAGACAGCATATTCCTTCACGCTCCTAGTCTTTTGGCAGTATTAGTATTATGTTAAAAACAATGGGCCTCCAATGTATCAGCAAATACTGGTCAAACGCAAATATAATTTATTCTTGGAATATGTCATGTTATACCATATATCTTGATGATTCCTTGATATCTTTTGTCTAACCAATACCCCCGGCACATTGAAGATGGGTTATGTTCAGCATGAGAAATTACAATCCTTCGCATATCGCGTTACTAGATGCTCAAGGGGAAGTTTATTCTTTCCATCGAGCAAAGCATTGGTGTCAAAACAAGAAATCATAGAATAACAACGCGAAATAACACCAACGCAGGGAAAAATGGAGCCAACTGAAGCGTTTGGCCGCCCGTGGCATCAATGCCGTGCGTTACTCACCAGCATGTGCATGCAGTGGATGGCGATGGCGCCGATCAGCTGGAGGCCAATGATGCCCACCAGCAGGCCAGAGTTCTTGATGGCGTCCGGCATCGCCAGGATGCCGGAGCCAACATTACCCTTCAGCAGGTGGATCAGCGTTTCACAACTCCTGCGCGGCATGGCATGCATGTGTGTCAGCGGTTGTGGCCACCAAATGGTGCATCGGCACCCCTACGTATTGAGCACATGACGGCGTACATGGAGCTTTCTCCGGCCCACTCTGGAGGGAGTAACGTACTACACGCACAGCCACTCACGCCATTGACGAATTACACGTGCCTACGTCACCGGGGGCTTCGGTAACGTTAGCGCCTGTTCTTCACTTCTACACACCTGCTTCGGGTAGAAGTGTTTGCCGACAAAGAAATCGCTACAGGCCGGCCACGTAGCCGTTAGAGGTTATCGAAGGGGACGCAAAACGCTGAGTGGCGCTGGCTATAAAGGCCCTCTTATCACGGGGTTTTACAGGAGCAAACAATTTTACCACGACAAAACGATCGCACGAACTGCGTGAAACACGTCGCCTTGGTGCGAAAGGTTCCGCCTTACCTAACGGCTCAAACTGTTACACATGCCCACGAAGTATAAGTAATACACCGCAAAGGAGGTGTCACTTCCCTCACCTGACGGACTTTTCGAGGATTGCATATCGGCAGCAACACCACAGTACACGCAACGCATCACAACGACAACGGATGGCATGGCGGATGGATGTGTGCAACATATGTGTAATATATGACAACATAGTGGGCATGAAGACCAGCAGCATACCCCCATATCACTGCATCCAGTCACATTTATCGGCTGGGTCAGTAATGACTGCTTGCACAGTTTCTGACTACACTGATCTATTTCACAGAGACCGCGTTGGGGTAACTTATGTGTAAATATAATAAGTGAGCTGTGCTAATGTTGAGCTTATCCAAGACTTTCACTGAATTTGTTATGACAATTACCAGAACGCTAGACAAGCAGATGCTTCGAATGAGCAATATTATAACTGGCTACCACCGGCCCGTTTTACACCATGGCCAGCCTGTACCGGCGGCACGGCCCACGATAACGGTCGTCAGTGACCAGCTCGGTCCCAGTGGTGCCCCCCCCCCCCCCCCGTACTGACGTGGTGGCGTTGACGGGCCCGTCGTCGTCCAGCTGGGAGGTGCTGCTGCTGCGCCCCAGCAGAGGCGACGCGTCACTGTCCTCGTCCTCGGGCTTGGCAGCAGGCTCGCCCGTCAGCCGCACCGGCGGGTACTGACTCTCGGCCAGCAGGCTGTCCACGGCGCCCACCTCGGCCGACCCCAGCCGCTGGTAGCTCATGGTGCTGCACTGGTGGAGGTCTGCAACAGTGGCAGCAGTCAGGGCTGACAGACTGCTGGGCATGCTGGTGGATACACATGAGAGCAGGGCATGCATGCAGACACTTGGGCAGCTGATAACTTTCCAATAGCAGCAGCTGAAGCTGGTTGGCGGATATACACTAGGCACAGCTCTGTGATACCATAATTTTCTAAGATTACAGCAATGGGCAGGACCTAAGTCACTTAACAGGCATGTTTTCCCTCACTCTTCAGCTTTGGCTTCTCACCTCAACAACTGATTTGACAAACATTATTCACCCTGGCAAGCTGGTACAAAATTAATTTTAGGTTCTTGTAGGGCTGTCAGCACCTAAATAAGTATCTAGACAGCTTGGCAAAATGTTATAGCACAAATTGTAATTGATGGAAAAGCAAGGATTTATGATATTCTGTTCCACATGATGCCTCTGGTATTATTATAAATTTACAGATAAGTTCATACAGATATGACTAAGGGTATAACTTAACCTTCTTTATTGGCTTAATTTTTTCACTACTCCACACCCTGTCACCATCCCATGCAAAACTTCTGAAATATTTCAGGTACATGCCTGGAAATCATGCATGGTTCAATGTGACATGATGTTTGTGCACACCATTTTGAACAACACTATAGACTTACCATTTTGAGTAGACTCATTTTCATTTGCCACTCCATCCAAAAAACAAAAACTGAGACCTAAAGCAGACCAAAACTGAGACTAGCTGAGACCTAATGCTTAAGTGGCAGATTCCAAGGAAATGTTTTCTCACATATTACATTCACATAAAAGTGAGTAGGTGATGCACAGCATATGCCACTGTTTCAATGCTTTTAGCAACTGTTTGTAGGAGTTCTAGTGCTGTCCATTTCTCATAAACCAATCTGTAACTGGGTGCCCCTGCTCCCCTCCCCTCACTGCCACCTATATCAATAAACAACCCTGGCCCTTCTAATGACAGCATGTTAGTACATACAGTGGCCGAGGTTAGGAAGCAGTGAGCTGACGCTGGCTGATGTTGGGCTATGGTCAGTCGGAGTATTCCACCTTACTGGATCTTCACAAAATATATGGTATCAATCATGAGTCAATGGAATATGGAAGACCAGGCAGAACCAGACAAGACCAGTGATTTCACAAGTCCTGGTGACAGGACCTAGTGAGTCACTATCAGATCCAGCCAGGCCAGGTCACATGTACAAAGTGCTATTTAAAAGGTATTAATACAGCCTAGTCTAGTCCTAGCCATGAAACTCTGCTGTTTGGTCTATGCAGTTATATCCTCTTAACAATTGGTCTTGCACACCCGAGTATCTCATGGACAGTGGCCTATATTTTATGAACATGACTAGACAATATCTCAATCTTGGTCACCGCATGCAGTCGCAGCATGCATAAACAAACTTCAGTCTCTGTAGCCATGAATGGAAGTTAGACTGAATTTGGTATGGATCTATATCTGGATGTAGTACCTGTGCATACAATGCACTATCATATGCACAACTATGGGGAGGGAGGCCCCCTGTACAGGCCCATATGTGTAATCTAGCACCATTTATGCCATTTGTTTGCATAGCATAATGCAAGTATTTGTATTATCTCTTGCACACTCTTATTACACTCATACAGAAGGGCATCAGGAAGAATTAGAGCTTCTGGCAGGACTATGGCCTCCTACTTAGTGGTACTATTTTTACAGCAATCCCTGCATGGTGAACATTCTCTCTTCACTATATTTGGCCATTCCATACAAAAACAAATTATTTTTTGTTGTTAAATTTAATCAGTCTTCTGGGAGTTTCTCTGAACAATTTTTTCCAATAGGACATGGAGCCATGTCAGTGATACACAGATACCTACCTAGTTATCTTCCTATCTTGTTCTAAGCCTAGTATGGCCCCACTGAGTCATCCTTCAATGTTTATGTGATGCTTGATCAACCAACAGACTTGTCACGCGGTGGTGGCGATTCCTGAGGGAACAAAGCAATGATATCAACTAAGCAAAGGGAAGTCATCACTTCTGTATACGTTCAAAATCGCTCAAATTTGTAGCTTTTCCAAGTCTTTCCGACTGATGTCCTTCAAGTGAAGTAAAAGGGAATAAAAGCTTCACAGTAACCTTCCAGCCGTCGTTATCCCTTAATCAACCTCTTAACCTGCGATTGCTACCCGTTTCAAGCTTGCAGAATTATTTACACCAATCCATACTACAACTACACACCTAGTGGTCCTCAAGTTGTTCCTGTCTCACCGTCACGCACCAACCTCCGCGCCCCACTCCCCCCCACGCTCACACCACAACTGTCCAGCTGCCCGCGCCACGCAACAAACGCCCAACGAACCAAGGTCGTCTAAGGGAGGGAAAACTGTCCGGTGATTCTCGATTCTTGTCCGTCTGAGATTATCGTGACGTAGATGGTATCAAGACTTAACTGCGCGGCGAGCGAACAGGCGTCAAAAGAAAGGCTGAGGGGCAACCGTGATATTGAAATGCTTGTCTAGATAATAAAAAAGGTGTTTGCGGAAGGTCCATATGACCAAAAAACCGATTCTATACAACATGACACAATTGATGATATGCTTTATGCGCCAATGTCGCAAACTGTTCAAATGCAAGGGTATGAAAAGTGAAGACATATACACTATGCTCATTCGCAATAGGGCGGCAGGAACATAGGCTGTCTTCGTGCCCATAGCCAGGGGCGGATCCAGAAGGGGCACGGGGCCATGGTCCCCCTTGGGCCGCGGAGGGGCCCCTTTGGCTCCGAGGAGGCTCATAGCCGGCCGAACAGGTGAAGTTTTTTTAACACAAAACGCAACAAAACTGGGTATCTCTGGACTTTCAGGCGACCAAGAACAGTTATAAGCAAAAGCGAAAGGCCTATGAGAAGTCAAAAAGTCATTTAATGATTGGAAAAGTTATGAACTGGAAATTTTAAACTTCATTTCACTGTCTAGGGACTTAAAGCTGTTTCCGGGGACCTATATGGCCCCTTGCAGGAGCATAATGATCGTTAAGGAGCATTCCACGTTGTCCTTAATTTCTTTGCGCTTTCTCGGAGGACCCTGCGCTGTTGTCGGGGCCTTTCCTGTTGGCGCACTGGGACACTCTTGTCAATCATGGGCCCTTCCACAGATTTGTTCCCATTCGCCAGAGAGCCCTGTGAGCTGTAGCCGGGGTCCCATATCTTAACCTCCCGTGGTATTCTTGGCTGCTTTGGGGCCCTTTACGTGGGTCTCATTTAACCTGCCGACACAATTGCGATATGTTCATAGACCGTCTACATTGGTCTAGAGTGCTTCCAATTCTGTCTCTTGCTTAGGGCCCTACACTCTTGTCGGGGGCCCATCCGATAGCCTGCCTGGGCACACTCAGTCGTTCGGAGACCCTCCACACTGGGCCCTGGGTAATTTTTTCTGAACGGATGCCCTACGCTCTTGTGGAGGGCTTATCTGATAATCTGCTGGGGCACGCTCGATCGTTCAGGGGCCTCTACATTGGGCCCTGGGCACGTGCTATTTGAATGGGACCCTACGCACTTGTCTCTGTCTGCCTCCTCAGCTACACTGGATTGCTCGGGGGGCCCTGCACATTGGTTCTTAGTGTTTGAATTCAAGGCCCTCAGGTCCCATCGTAGTCATCTAATAACCTGTTCGGGTACACTCCATCTTTCGGGGGCCCTCCGCATGGGGTTTTGGGTACTTCTTATTTGAATGGAGGGCATTAGGCTCCTGTCGGGGCCTCTTCTGATAAGATGCTTGGGCTCATTCGATCTTGAGGAAACCTCTGCATCTTGTTTGGGATATTTCCTTTTTGAATGGAGGGCCCTCCGCTTTTTCGGGGGCCCTGTCTGTTAACATGCTCTGCCGCGCTCGACTATTCGGGGCCCTCTACATCGTAACTTGGGTACTTCTTTTCTGAATGGAAAGCCCTACGCACTTGTCGGGGACCTTATCTGTTCACCGCTTCGGCCACATTTTATTGTTCGGACCCTAATTGCCGGGTCTTGGTGCGTGAATTTAGGGCCCTACCACACTCCTGTCTGGGCCACCTGATAATCTGCTCGAGTATGCTCCATCTTGTGGGGGCTCTCCGCACTGGGTTTTAGTTACATCTTACTTCAATGGAAGACCCTACGCTCTTGTCGGGCCCTTTCTGATAAGCTGCCCGGACACATTCCATCATTCTGGGGACATTTACATGGGGTATTCGGCGCTTCCCATTCGAATGGAGGGTACTACGCTCTTGTTGGGATCCCTATCTGTTAACCTGCTCGGGCACACTCGATAATTCGGGGGCCCTCTACATTGGGTTTTGGGTACTTCCTATTTGAATGGAGGGCTCCACGCTACTGCCGGGGCCCTATATGTTAACCCGCTTGGGCGCGCTCGATCGTTCAGAGCTCTACACCTCGCGTCATGAATATTTCTTATTTGAATAGATGGCCCTGTGTTCTTGGCGGGCAGCAGCTGTCCAGCTGCTCGGACCGGTGGCGGGTGCAGAGTGGGGGCAGGGGAGGGGAGGCACGGGACCATGCCCCATGGACCATGCCGAGGGGACCTAAAGGCTTCAAAGAGGCCTATGACCGGCCGGACGGGCGCAGTTTTCTTACAACAAAAGCACAACAAAATTGGATGCATTTGGGCCTGCAGATGACCAAGGACCACTGCTAGCAAAAGCAAACAGTTCATGAAGAAATGAAGTTCATTCTTCGCTGATTGAAAAGGTGTCGCTTGGGGAACATTTTTGGGCTCATTGCGCTGTCTAGAGGCGTTACGCTGTTGGCTGCCTGTCCCTATACGTCCACTTGCCGCGTCAAACTGATCGGTAAGGAGCTTTCCACGTTGCCCTTGATCTCTTTGCATTTTTTGAGGGGTCCAAAGTGCTGATGGGACGCAACCTACCTCCATGCCTGAGTACTGTTGATCGATCGGGTTTTCTCCACGGATTCTTCCTATTCGCACGAAAGGCTCTTCACACTTTTCCGGGGTCCCATATGCCAGGGTACACTCAGCTGCTCAAGGGCCCTTCTCATAAGTCTTGGGTTCTTTCCACTTGCTTTGGAAGACCTTGTGCTGTTGCCAAGGCTCTTATAAGGTAAAGCACGGAGACACTCGATGCCAGGGGCCCTCTACTTCGATCGAGGGCTCTTCTCTCTTTGGTCTCTTTTGCGGAGAACTATTCACTCCTATCGAGGCTCGTGTTGTTAAACTTCCCGTGCGCTCTTGACCGCACAGGGGTATTAATTCACGGTCTTGGATAATTCCCCTTTGCTCGAAAGGTCCTGTGCTATGGGCGGGGCCTTATATGTCAGCTTGCCGGGGCACTACTGATCGTTTAGTGGCCCACCACGTTAGTCTTGGGTTCTTTTTGCTTGCTCTGAGGGCCTCATTCTTGGTGATGAGAGCCACTTTGTTGGCCCCCTGCGGCACCCATGATCGCTGAGGTTCTGTCACTATTGGCCGTGGTGCCTTCGCGTTAGAGCAGCAGTCTAATACGCGCCGATGAATTTTAACGCACGATTGCCCAAAGTAATTGTACATGCTGCCGAAGTCCTATGTGCCATTTTTCACTTGCTATTGAGTGTGTGGCACTTATTATACTAGTTCAGTATGTTCTTAATTCATTTTGAATGCTTAGATATGTTGTACTCCTTGATAACAAAGGAAAAAATATGCATTAGTCATCAGCCGTCAGCTGATTACATTGCCCAGCCGGCTAGCTGTACATACATAAGTTAGGAATCAAGTCCATGCTTGGTTTTGATGGTTGTTAGCAGCCAAGCCGAGGTTATTTTGCCTGTTGTTCCGAAGCACTTAGCCTCAAAATCACAGCATCTAAAATGATCTGTAGAGAATGAGCGAGCTACATGTGCATACATCTTAGGGTGTGCCATCGAGGGGGTGAATCTCTTAGAATCAGTTGAGACAAAGTTTTTCCTTGGCACAGGTATTAATGATAAACATTCAGGTCTGTCGCACCTCACCAAAGTTGATATTCGTCGGTCGCGAGCAGTTTTTCTTTCATAGGCCAAGAACACCGTATTCGATACTAGCGCCACCTATTTTACGCACTGGGGTCATCATCCAATACGCCTCAAAGCTGCCACTTTCCACACTTCTGGTACTTGGTGGATTAAGAATGAAGTAGATATCATGAAGAGCACCAGCAAAACATTGCTAAACAGCTTTTAAGCTGGCTTTTTAGTAAGAAACAACTTATTTTTGGTAAAACCCAAAGCTGCGCAGTTATGAGAATGCTGTAGCAGACCGGGTTAGGTTCAAGTTTGCTATTGGTAGCGCATCATTGTGATGTTGATTTGCAATTTATGCGTTTTTTTTTTTTGCTGGGGAGATATGGGTTTATTGGTTTGGCTGTGCCGGTACTGAAACGTTTCTTTCGAACAACTACTTGCATAAGCATGCCGAAGGCTAAATGGTCGCGCAGAAAACATTTTGTGACAGGCCACCCGTCTCCACTGTCCCACCACCAACTGCCGACTACGGGAAAGCCTGGAACTACATGAGGTGGCTGAGCGAATCGAAAAGGAATGCCACTAATACCATCTTCAGGACCGCGACGGTAGAAACCAGGGAACTGTGGACCAACGAAGCGATCCCTGTTCATGATCTAAAATGCGTGACAAAGTTGATCGAGAGGGATTGTTATCCTCCCAACAAAGCTATCAGCAAGAAATCAAGGAAAGAAAGAGAGTGTCACAGCAACGCCGCCACCGCGAAGTTCAGCAAGCTTCTTGATGTCGTGGAATGCAAGTGAAAGCTTCAGTGCAGTTTTCCATGCCCAGTTGCCTGCACGGTGCATCAGGCGGAGGTTGCCATGAGGGACCAGTGCAGGCACCGGAAGCTTACCCTGGGGTCATATGACCGGGATACGATTGTGACTAGGGAGGCCCGCGAGGTGCGGAGGATGGCCAGACAACTTCAGGGATGTCGGGGCTCGGCCGCCAGTGAGGCGGTGTCTGCTGCTGAACCTGAGTCGCCTTCCTCGCCGGCTGCTGAGCCGGCGCCGCCTGCTGAGCCAGCGCTGGCTGCTAGTGCTGACCCGGGGCTGTTCCGGGACCAAGTGGTCTTAGCGCTGGTGAGTCAGCCGAGATTCATACACGGTTCCGTACATGATAGAAGGTGGCGACGACACCGATTGTTCGTTCCGGTTGAGACCACTGCCAACCACCACCACGTTATTGATCTGATTACACCACTCTGGCGGTTGACAGCTACGGTGGCTCGAACCGAGCCGCTGCTGCCATCATCAACGCCTTTCAACAAGACAGCAGAGACGGACTGGCTA